AGAGCTGTGAAATATAATATTTTATGGAAGCTGGCATATTTACTGTATATTTTTTACTAAGCTTTTTGTTTTATCTGTTTTTATGGCAAATACATTTTACAGATAGCTATATTTTTATTTTATTTATATGTATGTTTTAGTCAGCAGAAGAGTTTATTTACTGGTAATGATTTCAGGAATCTCACTGCTGGCTGCAGTAAGTGGATGCAAAACAGATGATGATGGCACACAGCTACTGATGACCTCTCTTGGCCCAGCCAGATCAGCTCAATCTGGTCTGCATTCTGAGCAAGTTGTCTTTTATTTGTATTTAAACTGTAAAATAATGGTTGGGATTTTCCATTCTAAAATTAAATTATACCTTCCCACACACTGTTCATGCAACATTCTACATCGTATGCTTTTTCTTGTCTTGAGCAGTGTTCATTTAGGTGTCTTGCAGCTTCATGGAGGTCTTATTATTTTCCAGGAGCCCAGTGTACATTTTGTGGTCATCAGTTCTAGCCTGTTGTTGGGTTACATGGCATAGAACAAATTAAAGAGTATAGTACTTTAAATGGGGTCATTCATTTTAGATGTGTTTCTCTTGGGTGGGGAAAAAAAAGCCCCAAAAAACACAATTACTGTAAGTTCCTGAAAAAGAACAGTTACTTATGCTTGCTACTAAATAGAATTCCAAAAAAGAAAAGGAAGTGACTTTAGGCATTTCCTGTAACTTTATTGAACAATTGTAACTAATCATAACAAAATAGTCAAATTTCATAACCTTAGAAGGCATCCTTTATGATAGCTTTGTATCTGTGTTATGAAGCAAATACAAAGTATACAGAATAATATGAAAACAGAGCAGGAGAGTGATATGTGCCTTGGGTATACAAAATGTTTTATGACTGCAAGCTCTGAGCCTGCATCACAACTCTGAAGCTCCTTGACAGATGCGAAAGTCTCAAGCTATGGTTTTCCAGGTGGCAATGAATGGCAAAAAGTATCATCTGAGGCAGCAAGTTGCTTCCCATTGGCATTCTAAAATAGGGGGAAAAATTGATATTTGCTAGGTTTGGGGGTGAGTCGATGGGTTTTTCTCTGCTACTACAATCTTGTATCTGTTAAAATAAATTTTGGTATACAATAACACAATAACATGCTCAAAAGCACCAAAATAACCTTTGATCCATGGTACAAAATTTTCAAAACTTAATCATGTTCAAATTTAAGAGGGCTAAGGTAAGTCTATGCTGAAGTCATAGAAAACTGAGCTGGTGTCAACAGCATAGAGTTGAGCACAGACTAATCCTGGCAAGGCAGAAGGAAGGCAGCCCCTTTCCCTGGCTTCCTGCATAGCTAGGCTTACCTTCGGACCTCCCCCCTCCTTTTTTTTTTAAACTGCTTTTTGCGGAGAACTCTGTTCTATTGTTTTAATTGCTTGTATCGCACTGAGGTTTTGCAGTAAAGTTAGTTTAAATAGTTGAGTGTCCTTCAGCTTTAACTTCATGCATCAAACATACTTTTTAGACCTAGGAATTTTCTAACCATTTCTAAAATTTCCACTAAGTCCTGGGAAGTGATTCCTGTTTCCTTGTCAGAGGCCTGTGTCACATGTATACCGAGTTAAGATTTGTCACTATGGGGTACTCAAACATCATTTTGTGCAGACTGTTTTAAAAGTAAGATAATTATAGAGTCTAAGAAATTAAATATTTTTAGTACTTTCATTATGTTGTAAAATGCAATTAAGAAATATTCAAAAGAACAGTTACATTTTGTTTCTGGAGGTTTGCTTTGTTCAGAGTGAATGACTTAAGCCATGCAGTGTCTCTTTCCATAGAAATTAAATGTAGACATAGAGGTTTTCTTGTATGCTACTTTTGCAAACGAACGCCTGTTTAACAATAACATCGGTCCCATCGTAGGATGGTGAAAGTAGTAGAGTATCTTGGGTTTGATGACCTGCTTGGCAGGATCCTGTTTTGTTTTCCTTCTCTTTATGAAACCTGTCAACCTTTTCTTCTCTTCCCTAGAAAATATCCATCTTACCCTGGGAAGCAAGTGGAGTCATAATTTTGGTGACAGTTTCTCCATTCCCTCCCAGGTCCTGTTCCTCACACATTTTCTTCCTCTTCAGAAAGTCCTGTGACTTCTTTATCACAGTCCTCTATTGCGAATGGAGGACAGAAAGGATGCTAATACCCTCTATCTTCTTATGTCACTTTTAATATCCTTGGGGCAGATAACTTGGCTAGGTCTTGATTTGGTCAGCTTCCTCTCTAGCTCTCAGTTCTTCTGTACAAGGTGCAATTGGTTCATTTATCCCATGTCCAGTTGTAAACCTATTTCAGCTGCTCTTCCCATATTCCTGAACTGCTGCCTTACCCTAATGATTATGTTATAGTACCGTGGGTCTGCGACGCTCACATGGGGAAAAACACTGTGTGGTTCAAATACAGGAGCTGACATTGCTGCTTGTGACAGATTAATATGTTTGTACATAAGAAGGAATGTTTTGGATGGATTTGCAAAAGGACCCTGTACTCTTTACTTAGGAGACCCATGCAATTTACCCATAAACAGACTGTTAAGCATCATTAGCGCAAAGAATAAATGTACCGTAGTTTCATATTAATTAAGTACTCTCTATAGAGTAAACTTTGAAAGTTAAATGAAAATTTTTAAGCCATTTTCTCAGGTTAGCAATTTCTCTTAGGGACAAATATAGCTCATTTTTAATACCTATTCCATAACCAAAGATTACATACATTACTCAAATGACCCACCATATACATGGGCATTTTAGAGAAATGATCAATAAACTATTAAACTGCTTTTTTCACTGAACAGTGTCTTTTTTATATGTATTTTAACATTTTTACATATTTAAAAAACACAGTATATATAAAGTGAAAGAAAACTATGCTTAATAAACTGGGGACAGTAATACAGAATGTATTAATCACACTGGGCAGGTTTAGATGGAAAAGATGCAGGGTTTTGTACACAGTGCTTCATTAATTACTCCTGTCAGAAGAAAGAAATACTCTATATCAGTCTCTCTTCTGCTTCAATTTTTCTTACATATTCTACTGCTTAGAGCACAGGCAAAGCTATGTGCTAAAACCTTTTGGGATTTGTTAGAAAAATGTATATTCAAGCATGTTGGTGCTTCAGCCAGTTTTTTGTGAATATTGTTAGGTAACTATTGTCTATCTCATATTTACAGTACATCTTTCCTGCACATTTAGGTACACCAGAAAGCCTGGCAGAAAAAGAGCGACAGCTCTCTACCATGATCACCCAGCTGATCAGCTTACGGGAGCAGCTCCTGGCTGCCCACGATGAGCAGAAAAAGCTGGCAGCTTCACAAATTGAAAAACAACGGCAGCAAATGGACCTTGCTCGCCAACAGCAAGAACAGGTGAGGCTCCAAGAAAGAAACCTGGGAAAATGTTTCATGCAGAATGCTCATCATGAGCATTGTTTTGCTTGGTGTTTCCTTTCATCTTTTTTGTTAAAAGAGCTTACATATCTTCAGAAATTGCTTTTTTTACCATACAGAGAAAAATATTATAGGACCCTGAGAGAAAAGTGGGTGTGAAAATTCAAATAATTTCTTTCCTGCAATGATTGCATTTGATAGATTTCACAGTTCCTGCTGCTTGCACTGAGATGCAATTTCAGGAGTTACCGATAAGCCAGAGTATAAGCATTATTTAACTCTTCCTCTTTTTGACAAGAAAATAATTGAATAAAAAACCTTAAAAAACTCCCAAACCTTCAAGTATGTTACCCCCGCCCCAAACAACCACACTTTATTTTAAAAGACCAGTTGTCCAAAGAGCTGTTCTCTTCTCTTTGTACAAAAGTGTGACAGCAGTGATCCCATACACTAGTCTCCTAGGCATTAGATCAGACAGATCCAAATTAATGTGTGGTTTTTAGGAATCTGACATTATTACTAGAATTATCTTTTCAGTTAAATGTATTTTATAGGATATATACAGCAATATATGCTCTGTTGATTTTAATGAGTTGTGACGTCTGGTATTTTATGTGCTTGAGTATTTGCCCACATGTAGGAATATGGACTCATCCCCTAATGGAAAATAACATAAAGGAACACTGTAAAAAATCAGAAGTTAGAATGTCATTTAGCCATCCAGAGATGACACAGTAATTAACTATTGACACTTGTGAATAAGCTAGCACAAATTAATCTTGACACATTTGCAGACGAGTGATATCTTACAGTGAACACTTTGTAATTATATTTCAAAATGAAAATTAAATGACACTTAAAACTAGGTTGTCATGCTCAATGAAGCGAGCATGTAGCTCAACCGATAGGCAAATAAAATTCAGAATTTGAGCCACATGGTGCTTGTGTAGCCTACTTTACTTTGTCAAGCCTATACATCTAGACTATGCTATGGTAATTGTATTGCAGCGTATTGGATATATCTTCTAACACAGTACTGTTCGATCTATGAGGAACCATTGACACTAGAAGTCTAGTGGTATATTTTCTGGTTTTCATCAGGAAATGAATATTCAAATGGTATTACGTTGTACAAATGGTTACAAAAACTGTTGACCAGCAATCCAAACTTGAGCAGATCAGCGCCTTTATACGCACAAAGGAAACAAAGAGCTCACTGTGACTTACTAGGCAAAGCAGCCGCCAGCTTGCCAGCAGCTCCAGAAAACTCTCAAATCAGGATGCTCTATATCTGTGAAAAAACATACAGCTGCCAGAAAGAATGACCATGACACGGTTCCATTTGGTGTCTGGTTTCAAAGTGTAATTACAAGTAATTCCTTTCTGAAGCTGAGTATCACAATTATTTTTCAATTACCTTCTCTGAGATATAAGCAGCAGGGGCACCGTGGACAGAAACCTGACAGAACTTATCTTTAGTGACGAGCACTACAGTCCGAGGATGGAATAGCACACTCGGTACGTTACTAATTAGAAAGGGTACTCAAGCGCTCATACAGGTGTTTCTGTAGCAGTTGCTTTTCGAAGCATAGGTGCTGCTGCTGACCATAGTTCTGACAATAACTACTAGAAGCTCCGAGAACCCAGGAGCAGCCCCTGTATTACCTAGTCACACAGGCAGCCCTGCTGGAGCTAGCTTTCTCATTAGCAGGCTAGGGCCTGATTCGTCAGTCCTCATTCACCATGCTGTAACTCATTTTACTGGGAGCTTTGTCCAGAAATATTTGAACACCAGGCTTACAAAGGGTGTTTGATCCCTACTATGGGCATCAGTGCAGCAGGCTTTGATAGTGGCTTGATTCCTTTTATGAGCAGCACTTTGCCCTGATCCCAGCCCCAGTAACACATGGATGTCAGTTTGTTTCTTTGAGGCCATATATAAGGCTTAAAATATGTACAGATTTTGTGTTGGTCCCCCATACAGAAGTGAATTTTAATTGTTGCCATGGAAAAAAAAAGACCCAGAACTATTTCCAGGCAACAAAGTGTGAGAGATTAAGGAAATAACAAACTTGATCTCTATGTGTGCACGATTACAAGCTGCTAATATGTACCTGCAGGTTCCTTGTGAGGAGCTTTATCTTGACAGTTTGTGCTAAGGCTATGTGATTGTTTATTTCCAAATAACCTTGCTACATTTACTGAAATTTCTTTATCAAAAAACTGTATTACTTAGCTTTCTCAAAATTAAAATATATGCACTTAATATATTATTATTAAACTATATATTTCATCAGAGATGGAGAGAGCATGCTAGGAAGAGAAAAGGGAAGGAGACAAGGAGGGTTATTGCCAGAACTGAAACAGGGGACTCAAGTGACCAGGCTACCTTTGTCACCAACTTCATGCTGTTTTATGTGATTTCTCTGCTCTTGATAAATATTTATAGGAGGGGAAATTATACTTGAGAAACGAAGGTAGCAAAACTGCTGAGCTGGAGTTTCTAGGAAACACAAATCTAATCCTTGTTTCAGTCTGCTGAGCAGTCACCCTTTGAAAGCGGGAGTCCAGTTGTTCGGCCGGCTCCCACAGCTCCTTCCTGGTTACGGCAGTCAGTGTTACTGCGAGCACCGAGCCGCTCTGTGGCCTGATGGAAGGAGCCTTTTCCCCTCTGCTCCCAAGTGCTGCTTCTGGAGGCCGTGCAGGAGTGGAGGAGCCTGGCAGGAGCTTCTCTCGTGTTAGTCTCTCTGTTCTCTCTGCCCTGCACCTTCACTTCCTTCCACGCATGTTAGAGGGGAGATATATTACACCTTTACCTTTTCAGATTCCTTACTGAATCGACAAAGCGAGGGTAAGAATGTCTATGTATTTGACAGGGTTATATTGAGGATGAGTTACTGAGCATCAGGTGCTGCTGTCTTTGACACAGAATAAGACTCCACTGCCTTGAGTAGTTCCAAGGAAGATGTTGAGACTTGCGGGAGAAGTAATGTACTGCTCATTGAAAATGAAGTTAGAGAAGTTTGCCCTAAGAGCTTGTGCTGAATAGTGAAACATCTATAAATACTAGCTAAGGCTTCAGATCGGCAAAGCAGGAAAATGTGTGTTTAACCTTAAGCACCTGAGTAATCCCATCCCCATTCAGCAAAGCACTTAATTTTAAGCATGTGTTTCATTCCCATTGTAGCTAACAGTAATGCATCATAGTCAAAGTTCACCACAAGCTTAAATGCTCTGTTGAATAGTGATGAGATTATTCACATGCACACAGCTAAGCCCATGTTTCTGTGCTTTGCTGAGTTGAGGCCTAAGTGCTTAAAATACATATATTTCTTACTGGATAGCTACGTTTGCATGTTGCATTTTTTTACATCGTATTTGCAATGTTGTTTTCATTTGCTCTATCATATTTTACGTCATGCGTACAGGTACCTCTAAAATAATATTTTTTAAAAAAAATGATGCTCAATAAACATATAATAAAAATAGCTAATAAGAAGTTTTCAGTCAATAATATTGAGGTTTCAATATTACTGTTTTAATTTAATGGAAATTTTATTTCTAATAGATTGCAAGACAACAGCAGCAACTTCTGCAACAGCAGCACAAAATCAATCTACTGCAGCAGCAAATTCAGGTCAGTGTGTTTTATTGCTCTCTTCTGATTATACTTAAATTCCATTTGTGGAGGGAGAAGGATCTAAAATAAAGCTGCCACGTGCTTTACTAATAAGCCTCAGTAAAGATGCTCTTTATGGAGGGTCTTTGTGCCTTTGAAAATTATTGTCGAACATCTTTTTGGTGGAAATAGCTTGTATTTAATAAGGAGAGTTTTCTTCTGAAAGTTATGAGTTATCTCTTAAGTCTTACCATTTAACTCTGAAATCTGCAATCAATTTTGAGTTACATTCTAATGAAGTAAAAGCAGAGTTTCAATTATTGTTTATAGATTTCCTTATTCTGCAAAGCCAAAATTGGCATTAGAAAGAAAAGCTTATTATGCAAAACACAGGGAATGTGTTTTCAATTTCATTAACTGAAGCAAACAGCTAGAGAATACGACAATAGACATTGAAACAGTTCTAAGTCCTGGTCACCAGTCTGCTGATGCTCAGTGCCGTACAGGTGTATGTATGCCATGTACCTTTTGAGTAATTATACCTTCACAGATTTGGGAGCATTCTGGAGGCATTCGATTTTCTGTACTTCTGCTCAGAGCCTGCTTTAATTTTGTGCAAATAGACTGTTTCTCAAGTATATAGGCAGGTGGAGAGTGATGTGAGTACAGGCATTGTTGACACATGACTGTATTACCTTTTTTGCTTCCCATTTTGCTTGAAAGCATTTCCATGCGCCTGTTCTTTGATTTAAATATTTCATTCTGGTCTGACAGCTGATTGTGCTGCCAGTCATTTCTTATACGTTTGAACTATTTGCTTTTTCCCCCAAGCAGCTGGTTGCCATGTTGTTATCTGCCCAAAGTGAAGCCTTTCCTTTCCTCATACCAAACCCAATGTGCTTGTAAATACTTTTGCAAATTTAATAATGCAGTTTCACTTGGACTTTAATGGATTTAATTAACATTTATAAATATGCTGATACCTGGGCTGAGAGACACGATTGAATTTAAAGCAGCATCATTGTCATCACCTATTGGAAGACTTTGAAAAGAAGCAGCATGTTTGTGTTGGGGTACATAAGGGAGGGAAGATATGAAGCAGTAGTGAAAGTGAAAAATACATCACCTTCTCCTCTAGGCAGTATTTGCAAATCTGGCTTCCAAAAACAATGAATCATTTTACTGCATATAAAAAAGTCTTCCTTTGACATAAGAGCAAAAAAGGACATGTAGCTGGATCTATTAAACAAAAAGAGAGTTATTTGCATGAGCAATGTTTTTAATTTTTTAAAATTCCTTTAAAAATTAGGACACACAAAAAGAGGACCAGGTCATTTTTTGTATCCGTTTGGAGAGTGCAGTTATGTTTTACTGGGAAGCATCCTGCTCTGTAGTAAGGAATGTAAAGGCACTTCACGTTTCAGTTTGCCTTTTCTGGGGGGAGTGCCTAGAAGTCATCTAAGTCTTATTATTTTCTCTTATACATCCCCAACTGGTACCAAGAGCATTGTGAGCCAAGTGCCAATCAGAAAGATGCCATAGGAGCCCTAAGGTGTTGGAAATCACCAAAAGTTTAAAATGGCATAAATAACAAATTTTAAGGGAATTTTTTGGATCATATTTTATAGCACTGCACATAATCTTTTTCAGGGTTAATGGTTTATATTATCATGTCATAATTTCAGAAACTTTATTTTTACAATTGCTGGCTTTGATAAACTACAAGAGCCAAAAGGGGACAGAAAGGCAAAAATGTCGAGTTCTTTTTTGTGCTGTTATTATCCTTCTTATTGTAAGGAGAGATTTAGGCTTCAAAGAGATTTCTCTAAGGAGAAAGTGCACACAATGCTCTCAGCTTATGACTCCATGAAATGAACGTTACGTGAATACCAGTTGCTGCCCTCTTTATGGCAATTAGAAATCCACTAATTTCCAGGAGATTCACCATAACATCTTCTTTACAGTATGTCAGTTTGAGGCAACGTGAAGAAACGGTGACTCGTATGACACTCGTTACTTCCTAGGAGCTTTACTGGTGTTCCTAGGCTCATCTTTTCTTTCATGGGGATAAACTGCTATGCTGATTGCCTTCCAATTGTTAAGGGCCAGGTCCAAAGTTGTGCTGGAGCAATAAAAGAGTAACAGTCTCTCTTTCTTGAAGGATTTTGCTGTAACTCAAACATATTGCCTCAAAGGAAGGACTTTTAAAAAAAAAAAAAAAAAAAAGAGGGGGGGAGGGGCAGGTTTCTGTTGCCTTTCTGTTAATAATACCCAATTGTACTCCAGTGAGAATGGTAAAGATTTACCCTTCCACTGATTCCAGGGAAATGCTGTCTTAGAGTAGTCTGCAGATTCATTTTCTTATTCATTCCCAAGTTTCTTCTGGCATAATGCTGAACCCTTCACAAGCTTTCTTTTGCATCCTTTCCTAGATGTATATTCAGACAAGTGTTTTAAATGGTTCTGTTCATGTGAGCTAAACTGTTTCTCAGTGACCCTTCCCTAAATGCCTTTGTTTTAAAATCTTTGCCAATATAAGCCACTCTTACTCCATAGTTCCTTAGTAGTTTGGGCACCTGACTTATATATATAAATATATATATTTACATGGAACAAGTTTTACTCATGTGTCAAGTGACTCTAATGAGTGAATTTCAGCATGTTTTCTATCCCAGCTTGTGGGCCAGACTGGTAGTGGGCTTCTCCTCATTTTTAGGAACCTCCTGGGTGCTACTATGCAGCATTAGGACTGTTGGGCCGTTGCCTTATCAAACACGTATTGATCTTACAAGTTGCTTACTGAGAAAAGTTTGTTAGGATTATGGAGTAGTTTTTTTCCAAGGCTAAACAGCAGCTTACATAGTCCACTGACTCATGAGCCAAGTGGTCCTTCTTTGTGTATTTGTTCTGACTAATTTTGTGGCAAGTTCATTAGCCAGGGCTTGCTTGTGATAGAAGTTAGTTGCTAGGTCTCCTCAGCAGTTTATAGTGGGTTTGCTGCTGTTGAATTGGTTGCAAGTGTTGCCATTTGTCAGGACCTGTAGCTTCCTGAGGGCTGTAGGTGAAATGCAGGCAGCTGAGCAATGCGACCCTGCACTGGTTCTCCCAGGCGCCCTCCCAGGGTCCTCAGAGGAAACCCTGGCACGGACCCTGAAGTAGTTGCCATGAAGCCACACTAGTAACTTGAGGTGGAATTCATCAGATCAAAAGGCGGTATCTACAGTATAGACTCCGCGGCTCAATTAATTATCCATGTTGTTTTTATAGTGAAAGAGAGAAGCAGAGTGTGAGTAGTTTTAGGATGCAATTCATCTTATCCTAAAGTAGACATTTAAAATATGTCAGGTGAATTGTTGCCTAAAATGGCTGTTTCTCTCCATTAACTATAAAGGATGTGGATGCCTATAGTGTAGAGATCTGAAGTGAGATGAGGTGAATCACACTGTCTGTGGCTTGAGGGGAAAAAACCGTTTTCTAATAAACCTTTATATTCCCACTTTAGTTCTTTGGGCATGGTGGAATTCTAAGCTGTGCCCCCGATGGTATACTTGATTTTATCCAGAAAGTGTGTTAGTTTAAAAATTCTCTTGTGCAGCCCTTTTCAGGAAACCGTGATTACTTACGTGGGATGGCATGGATTGTTGTCTATACCTTTGTATGCAGGGAAAAACAATAGTACTCTTCCCTGTCTCCCCCCCCCCTTTTCAAAAGATGATAAAGCGTGAGCAGCACAGGTGCCAGTTCCATCTGGACATGGGCCTATTCATGGCACAGCTACTCGAAATGAGTACAGTTATGTTCTCTGGTATTCCAGAGTAGGGCATTGCTGATGCAATGTTACCATCACATGAGACGCCCTTTGTACCGCTCTGATCTTCCGAGGTACAGTGTTAATTTTTAAGCAGTGATTTTCATGAGTAAGTGCATCCAGTTTGGCTATCGCTCTGAACAACTACAAGTGACGTTAGATGAGGCTTACAAGGTTTCTGTCCGCGATATATAAAAGTGGAAATAATCTACTATTAAACCACACATCTTTCCCTGGGTACCCACTGGGTTCATTTACATTATTTAGTATTTATTACTTACATTATGATTTATACTGTTTATATGTTTATACTATTTACCATTTTAAACACCTTATTTCATTTAGTTTTGTTAAAGTTCGTTTCCTGGAGCACCTTACTCCAGACTTGTTATGCATCTGAATCTTTGCCAGCAGTCCATCAGCAAACATAGCAGGTGAAAACAACATAGGTATTTGAAGAGTACTGAGATCATAACGTTCTTCATAGTTGTCTCATGTTTTCTAAGTGAAGATAACGTTGCTTTCAGGGTGCGGGGAAAGCAGTTTTGTCTATTGGCTAAAGGGAGAGGGACTTTGGAGTTATTCTCAGTTCTGTCTCTGATTAACTATCTGAAATTTGGCAAATCATTTCCTATTCCTCAATCCAAACAAAATGTTTTGAGAACCTGAAATGAAAAATTTCAGTGTATTATTACTTTTCAGCTCAAATGTTCGTATTCCTCTTAGGGAAGAGGATAAACATTCATTCTGCAAGGTATGCAGACAAAGTATTCCTTTAAGTGGAGATAAAGTTGAAAAAACACCGTAGGGCAAGTAAGGACTATCAGATCAGGCTCCAGGTTGATTCAGATTTGTTAAGGAACTTTCATTTTTTATTTGAAATGTATTCTTAAACTAGTAGGGACAAAATGAGGCTACTCCAAGGACATCTCAGTCTGTGCTGTGATAAGGAAACCCTACGAATAAGAGGAAAAAGCTGTTTAACGTCAGAATTTGGTGGTGCATCATAAAGAGAAGACTAAAACAAAAGAATGGGGGGCTTGCGTATGTCTAATGGTTCAAACCTTGCAAAGCACCTGAGGCCCTGAAATCCCTGCGTTCAGTGCCTTCTTGGCAGAAGTCTCACAGTGAGGCCAGCCGAATGCTCGAGACCTGCCGTGTTCTGCTGTGGAAGGTGGTAGGAGCCCACTGAAATCTGGTGCGTTTCCTC